CCCCGCCGGCCCCTCTTCCCTCCCTTCGGCCCTTCTCAGTATCAAAAGGAAGAAATCGAGCGCTTACCGTGTCTTAAACAGCCACAGATCGACTCGGTAGAGGTAAAAACAGCAGTACAGGCAATTGGCAGACTGGATTTTGCCCAGTCCAGAGCAAAGCTTTCTATACTTCCTTGGGAAAGACTGGGTTTGCGTCAGTGCATAGCAAGGTGCCCTTCGTTTGACATTTTCTTGATAATAAGAGTTTGATAAATCATTACCCTTGGTTTCAGATTTTAAAGGGACAACAAGAAGCCAGAGCGCCGGCTAGCTGTCACTCACGCGGCAGTGGGATTGCGCGTTCCGTGTGACTCATATGGGGGCTGATTACTAAACCAAAACCAGCAAGAGCACGGAAGAACTTTCTTGCTGGTAATTAGAGGGAACATGTGAGAAACACGTACTGCTGCACCCAAAGCAGGATAGGAATGGGGAGAACCCTTCCATTTCTACCCCCTCTCCCGCCTCCCGGTTACTGTAGTGTGTGGTTCATCTCCCCCCTTTTTTTTTTTCTTGCATTTCTGCAGTTCATAGTTGGATCAGACGTTATAATAACTTACATATATGTATCCACATAACTATACGCAGAGAGAGAAGTTCACTGTGTATAAAGTACACAAACACATTTTAATTGTGTCTTCCCTGTTCTCCTTGCACCAGACAACACTACATCGTCTATTTTTACTGCGCCTCGTGCGGGGAAACCCTCAGACCTAATTAAATTAAAACAATACACACAATAAAGCCATCTTCTCTGTCATCAAAACTATCTTAAGAACAGTTAAGCGGGGGCAAAGATGACGGCAATCGCAGTCAAGTTGTTGGTGTTCTTCCCCCACCCATCAAAGCATTTATGTTTGAGGACGGGGGTTGGATTACTCATCATTAAAAGTCAGATGTTAACCCAGAATCGTTTTTGCAACGAAGTCATTCACCCATGATCGCCTCTCGTAAGCGTTATTTGCTATTTGAGGGGCTTTCGCAAAGATTTGTTGCGCACGAGGTAACTTTGTTCACGCTGACGAAAATAAAAAGCGCAGTGGCAAATGGGGATGCTCCCTAAGCAACCTCCCCAGTTGTTCCAGCGTCAAAAATGCTGTTCCTCCGCATACACTCTGCTAGCGTCAGCTTCTCCGGAGAGTATTTTGTATTTTAGCGTAAGCAATGATGTGAAGTGTGCGCCGGTTCGGGCGAGGGGAGGAGAGGAGGGGGCTAAACTCGCCAACACCACACGCATTTCTTGTACGTCCTTGATTTTACGGGTTACTACCGTTTCTTGCAGCGGACGGAGTAAATACAAAATTCCCAGTAGCCCAGACAATTCTGCAGAGCCTCTGGCTGCCCGGTGCCGTCATGAGCAGGGGGCTGGAGAGCTTTGTTCCACTGCAGGCAGCTGCCCGCAGCGCCAGGCTGCGGCTCGGCGCGCCGGTGGAGCTGCGGAGGCTGCCCTTCTCCGCTAGAATTCAGCCCAACTCCTTTACGTTACACCTGGTCACTGCGGGTGTAAGCAGAACTTCACCTGCAGGAATTATTAAAAGCACCACGAAAGCCAAGGAGATTGGGGCTAGCAAAGCAGAACACTGAAAATCGGGGTTTTTTTGCAGAAAAGATCACCCCCGTCTCCCAACTGAAAAATGCTTTCGCCTTACAGCAGAGCTTCAGAGCGTGCTTACAGCACAGCTACCGTCAACTTACTATGCTGTTGCTTAGAACATATACAAGCATATACTATAGGTATATAATTATAATACGCACGTACAGGTATTTCTACACATACACGCTTTCATACACACTGTGTGCGTAGCCTGTTGTATGTTGCTCTCTTCAAATACACTCTTCTGCCTCTCTTCTACCATACACACTCCCCCGGTCTATTCAGAAATCGAGGGGCACACGCAGAACCTAGTTTTATTGGGAGAAATCAGTGGTATTTTGCAGCGTTTCCCTCTCACCGCATCCTTCAGCCGCAGAAAGAACAATCTGTTCGGAGCCGGGGAAGGGAGCAGGGTCGTTAGCTCGGTTGCGCTGCCCTTCAGGTTACATTAATGCCTCTAAAGACACGGACCAAATTAAAAGCGACAAGGCAGCCGTCCAAGAAGTATTTTGGTCGCCGAAACCCCCAAACCTCTTCTAGGTTCACAGGGTTGACTTATTTTGTTGTTTTTTGTTTTTGGGGTTTTTTTTTCAGAAAATTGACAATATTCATTCTTCACGTTCTTGTCTAAGCGATATTTTTGCTTTCTCCATCAGCACTGAAACGTGAAATCGAAGTTTCACCCCTAGAAAAGAGGAATCGATCTCCTCCACTTTCAGAAAAGGCAAGAGCACCCCTCTTTCCCCTGCCCTCCGGGGAAGGGCGCTCTCGGCGCTCTCGCCCACGGACGACCGGAGCCAAGGACCCGTGCTTGGACGTGAGGGAAACCCACGAGAAGCACGGCTCGGATTCCAACATTTTCCCTTATCTTAACGCTCCCGTCGCCGGCTATCGAGACGGCAAAGCCGAGTTTCCCCGGAGCCGTGCTGATCCTGCCCCTCGCTTCTCGCACACCGTTTCAGACGGAGACACTGCCCTTGGGTCCAAACTCCCGGTTTGGAGTTACGGTTCCCTTCAAAACCAAAACAGATCCCTCCAACGTGGGGTTCTAACCCCCCAGTTAGAACTAACTGCCAGTAAGTTCATTAAAATGACTTTTCTGAGCTCCTTCTTGGGTTCTCATCGTCCCTCCCAAACGCCTGTCCCAGAGGCGAACCGCCCCTTCACAGCCCCGAGCACGTACCCAAGGGATGGAAAAGGACCTGGCTGCAGCTCACACCAAACACACACCGATCTCTCT